GGGGAGGTGGGGCTTATGCCTGCTCCCTGGGCTGTTATCTTGTCCTGAAACAGCCTTCGGGGGCTCCATGTGGAGCAATCGAGTCCACACCAGTTTCCCTAATGGATCAAACAGCAGCCCCTGGGACAAATTCAGGTCAGGAAATTGTTTTTTCCTTGGGGGGAGGCAGAACATCTCCCTGTGCAACCCAAGCCTGATCCGAACCAGATCCACATACGCCTGGGAATTAAGTTCCCAAGACGGAACTTGCAACACACAGCTGATTGCGAAGAGTCATTGGGAAAGTAACATGTCGTTAGACCTAGAGTGGGAATTCGAACCCAGGTTTCCCAGGTCCTAGGCTGACACTCTACCTGCTATATCGACAGGCTGTCATTAGAAGGAGCCTCCCACCCAAGACCCCACTTCTATGTAGCCACCTTTGAGCTCTGACGCTTACCTTTTCTTTTCCAGTTCATCAGTCGAAGCCACAACGCAGACGGTAAGCATTTCTTGGGGGCCAAAGGGCATGTGTGGTTGGGAGGCGGGGCGGAGACCCCCTCTGTGTTGCAGGGAACCGGGGGAGGGGGCCGAAAGGTCTGTGAAGGTGCCTCTCCCTACCCTTGAGCAGGAAGTACATGGCAGCAAAAGCATCATGGGAGTATGTGCCAAGCAAAGTTTGGATGAGATCACAAGCGCAGTTTCTGCCTCGCCTCAGCCGTGCTGTTACATTTGGACCGTCAGCTGGCAGGGGGCGAGGAGGCCTGTGAAGCCAGCATGCAAAGTGCGAGAACCAAATCGAAGGGCTGAATCAAACTGAGTTTCGGTTCATCCACTGCTTATTTTCCCACAGTGGCCAGCCCAATGCCTTCCGCCTGTTGTTCGCCCTCAGCATCTGGTGATCACAGGTGTACTGCTTCTGATCACGGAGGCTTCCGTTAGCTGCTGTGTAGGTTACTGTCCCCCTGACTGGGACGGGGCGTCCCCCACCTCAAGTTCACATCATCCACTGCCACTTGGAGCAGTTTTACCATAGAGTTTCCAGCGATTCCTAGAGCTACCCACCATCACTTCCAGGTTCTCCTTGGAAATGCCATTATCATGTCGGCAGTGCTGCCCCCCACCATGTCCCCATCCCCAAGCTTTCCACCAGTTGATTGCCCTGGCAACCCTACTGCCATGTCCCATAGCTGTTCAAAGGCCCATATGGTTTTCCCCTCCTCCGTTTTATTCTCATAACAACCCTGTGAGGTAAGTGAGGCAGAGAGAGAGAGAATGAATGAATGAATGAATGAATGAATGAATGAATGAATGAATGAATGAATGAATGAATGAATGTGACTGGCCCAGTGAGCTTCATGCGTGAGGGGGGATTTGAACCCAAGTCTCACAGACCCTTGTCCAACACTTCACGTACTGTACCGCACACTGTCTCTCAGACCAGTGAACTATAAACTCAACAGTGAGAAATCTTTTCAGGTGTCATCTTAGGCCTGACCAGCTGCCCTCATGTCTCTCCTCTTGTGTCTCCTCAGTAATGTGAAGTCGAATATTGTGTGAGGTGATTTCCTTCCGTCTCTCACAAACGGCAGTCAGGGGAGCAAAGCGGGAGACAGGCGATGTTAACGTTAGGCAGCTTTTTGCCCGTTACCGGGGTGATGTCAACTGTCGGCCCAGTCACATCTCCTAAGCCTGTGTAAATTGGGACCTCGCTTTTCGCCATTAACAATTTTATCAGCCCCTGTCAAACCCCTCCATTTGGAAGCACGCTGACACTTCGGCTCTGTTCAGACACAATATGAAATCCTGGTTTAATGAAACCAGCTGTGGTTTGTGTGGTTATCCAAGTGTCGGCCACTACACTTAACTCTGGTTAGTCAAGGCTCTGTCCCCACCAGGATCTGAAGTTGTTATTAACCACACTTAGTCTTAACTATGGTTTCCCGTGATGTCTCAATGCAGACGTCTGGACTTCATCCTGGTTAAATCCTGACTCCTTCCCTAATGACCCCCTCCCAGGCTACAGAGAGAGAGCGCTGAAACCAGCATTTGCCGAGACAACCGAAGGTTTGCGTAACCATGGATGAATCCTTGATTTGCAAGCTAAATCTAGCTAAAGTTAACCATCGTTGCTGAGGTTGCTTTCCTACATTGTCAGATATTGCACTACCCTTGTGCTGGCTGTAGCAATAATTTGTAACTGGGTTTTGTTGTGTGGAGTGGACGAAACAGGCCAGTTGTGCATGAGTACTAACAGTACCCAGGTCCCATCAATATGTGGATGCAACCTTAGTAAGGAAATATGTGCTGTGTGGAGGTGTGCCTGTGAAGGAAATTGATGTTTGAACACATGAAGCTGCCTTATACCAAGTCTGAATGGGTTGCCATCTCCAGGTTGGGAAATTCCTGGAGATTTGGGGGTGGAACCAAGGGAGGGGAGGGGCCTGAACAGAGTATAATACCATAGAGATATTGTTCAGGGGAACTGATCTCTGTCATCTGGAAATGAGTTGTAATTCCAGGGGATCTGCAGGCCCCACAGGAAGGCTGGCAGCCCCACCAATCACTGATCTGTCAAAGCCACACATAAGAACATGAGAAGAGCCCTGCTGGGTCAGACCGTTGGTCTATCTAGTCCAGCATCCTGTCTCACCCAGTGGCCAACCAGTTCCTCTGGAAGACCAGGAACAGGGCAGAGAGGCAGAGGCCTTCAAAAGAATACCAGAAGAGCCCTGCTGGATCAGACCAGTGGTCCATCCAGTCCAGCATCCTGTCTCACCCAGTGGCCAACCAGTTCCTCTGGAAGACCAGGAACAGGGCAGAGAGGCAGAGGCCTTCAAAAGAATACCAGAAGAGCCCTGCTGGATCAGACCAGTGGCCCATCCAGTCCAGCATCCTGTCTCACCCAGTGGCCAACCAGTTCCTCTGGACAGCGAACAGCAGGGCACGGAGGCCGAAACCTTCATAAGAACATCTGAAGAGCCCTGCTGGATCAGACCAGTGGCCCATCCAGTCCAGCATCCTGTCTCACCCAGTGGCCAACCAGTTCCTCTGGACAGCGAACAGCAGGGCACGGAGGCCGAAACCTTCATAAGAACATCTGAAGAGCCCTGCTGGATCAGACCAGTGGCCCATCTAGTCCAGTATCCTGTGTCACACAGTGGCCAACCAGTTCCTCTGGAGGGCCAACAACAGGGCAGAGAGGCCGAGGCCTTCATGAGAACATCAGAGGGGCCCTGCTGGATCAGACCAGAGGTCCATCCTGTGTCACACAGAGGCTAACCAGTTCCTCTGGAGGGCATAGAGGCTGTGGCCTTCCCCTGATATTACCTCCTGGCTTTGGGATCCAGAGGCTTAGTGCCTCTGAATGAGGAGGTTCCCCTCAGCCACCACAGCTAGTAGCCACTGACAGACGTCTCCTCCACGAATCTCTCTCATCCCCTTGCCTGCTCTGACCGGCAGCAGCTCTCCGGGGCCTCAGGTCTTTGTTCTCCCCATTGCTCCAGGTGCGCCAGAGCAGCTTCCTCGCACCCCCCCAGCCCCCACAGTTCCCAGTGTGGCTGCGCTTTCACCCGGCCGACGCTCCCCACATCCCAAGTCCCCCAGCGAGTCTCCAAGGGAACGCAAGACGCCTGTCGAAGACAAGAAGAAATCTGTGAGTGTTGAGTGGGGGAAGAGGGCCGTTTGGGGGAACAGCTGGGTTGGCGAACCTGTAAGGGGAGCGTGGGCCGGGGAAGGACAACAAACTGGGTGATGGTTGGGGGGGAGGGGAAGGACAGCGTGACTGAGCTGCACGGGGCGTTTATGGTTCAGTAAGGTGCTCGGAGGAACCTTGCGGCATTGTGGGTAGGCTTGGCACAGGAACCGAAACCTCACTCCTGGTTCCGTCTTCCCCTCGGGCTCCACCCCTTCTTCCCGCAGAAACCTTTGGGTTATCGGGACTCGAGTTATTACTGGGAGGTGCCCTCCAACGAGGTCACCTTGCTGAAGCGTATCGGTGCCGGCTCCTTCGGCACCGTCTACCGGGGCCGTTGGCACGGAGACGTCGCGATCAAGATCCTCAAGGTCACAAACCCCACCAGCGAGCAGGTGCAGGCCTTCAAGAACGAGATGCAGGTGCTCAGGTAGGCCGAAGGGTGGGTGAGCTCTTGGAGAGAGGCTCCAGAGGGAGGAGGAAGGGGTCGGGGCCCAGGGTGGTGGTGGGGGGGACGTTATCGTGGCCTGCCTTTGACGCTTGCGCCCTCCCCGCTTTGCAGGAAGACACGCCACGTGAACATCCTGCTCTTCATGGGGTTCATGACTCGGCCCAGCTTTGCGATCATCACCCAGTGGTGCGAAGGCAGCAGCCTCTACCAGCACCTGCACGTGCAAGAGACGCCCCTCGAGATGGTGCAGCGCATCGACGTGGCCCGGCAGACGGCGCAGGGCATGGAGTGAGTGTGGGGGGCTCGAGGTGGAAGGAACGAGTGTTATGATGGGTCTTCGGGCCGTAGGGGAGAAGTGTGTGTGTGTGTGTGTGTAGGAATTGGCCGCACTACAGAGTGGAAAGGGGCATCATTGGGGGACTGCTGGAAAAGGTAAATGAAATAAATGTATTGGGTTTCAGTCCTTAGGGTGCATCCCAGGTACCTCTGTCTGCCTATGGCACCCTTACTAATCACTATAGATGCTGACAATCTTCTCTCTATCTCTGTTCCTAGTTATCTTCATGCTAAGAACATAATCCCCCGAGATCTCAAATCCAACAGTATCCTTCCCTTCCAGCTACTTGCTCGGAGGAACCTTGCGGCATTGTGGGTAGGCTTGGCACAGGAACCGAAACCTCACTCCTGGTTCCGTCTTCCCCTCGGGCTCCACCCCTTCTTCCCGCAGAAACCTTTGGGTTATCGGGACTCGAGTTATTACTGGGAGGTGCCCTCCAACGAGGTCACCTTGCTGAAGCGTATCGGTGCCGGCTCCTTCGGCACCGTCTACCGGGGCCGTTGGCACGGAGACGTCGCGATCAAGATCCTCAAGGTCACGAACCCCACCAGCGAGCAGGTGCAGGCCTTCAAGAACGAGATGCAGGTGCTCAGGTAGGGCGAAGGGTGGGTGAGCTCTTGGAGAGAGGCCCCAGAGGGAGGAGGAAGGGGTCGGGGCCCAGGGTGGTGGTGGTGGACGTTATCGCGGCCTGCCTTTGACGCTTGCGCCTCCCCACTTTGCAGGAAGACACGCCACGTGAACATCCTGCTCTTCATGGGGTTCATGACTCGGCCCAGCTTTGCGATCATCACCCAGTGGTGCGAAGGCAGCAGCCTCTACCAGCACCTGCACGTGCAAGAGACGCCCCTCGAGATGGTGCAGCGCATCGACGTGGCCCGGCAGACGGCGCAGGGCATGGAGTGAGTGTGGGGGGCTCGAGGTGGAAGGAACGAGTGTTATGATGGGTCTTCGGGCCGTAGGGGAGAAGTGTGTGTGTAGGAGTTGGCCGCACTACAGAACGGAAAGGGGCATCATTGGGGGACTGCTGGAAAAGGTAAATGAAATAAATGTATTGGGTTTCAGTCCTTAGGGTGCATCCCAGGTACCTCTGTCTGCCTATGGCACCCTTACTAATCACTATAGATGCTGACAATCTTCTCTCTATCTCTGTTCCTAGTTATCTTCATGCTAAGAACATAATCCACCGAGATCTCAAATCCAACAGTATCCTTCCCTTCCAGCTACTTACCTAGAGATAGAAGGGGTGGGTTTTTGCTGGCAGAGGATGTAGTGATGTCAACAGGGATAGATGGCTTTAAAAAGGGGTTAGACAGATTCATGGAGGAGAAGTCTATCAGTGGCTACTAGCCATGGTGACAGAGGGGAACCTCCGCATTTAGAGGCAGTAAACCCCTGAATAACATCAGGGGAAGTCATTGGCATCTCTCTGCCCTGTTAATGGATCTCCAGAGGAACTGGTTGGCCACTGGGTGAGACAGGATGCTGGACTAGATTGACCACTGGTCTGACCCAGCAGGGCTCTTCTTATGAGGGGAAGGCCTCGGCCTCTCTGCCCTGTTGTTGGCTCTCCAGAGGAACTGGTTGGCCACTGGGTGAGACAGGATGCTGGACCTCGGTGGACCACTGGTCTGATCCAACAGAGCTCTTCTGATGTTCTTTCTTATGAAGGCCTCGGCCTCTCTGCCCTGTTGTTGGCCCCCCAGAGGAACTGGTTGGCCACTGGGTGAGACACGATGCTGGACCAGTGGTCTGACCCAGCAGGGCTCTCTTCTGATGTACTTATGAAGGCCTCGGCTTCTATGCCCTGTCATTGGCCCTCCAGAGGAACTGGTTTGCCACTGGGTGAGACAGGATGCTGGACCTAGGTGGACCACTGGTGTGATCCAACAGAGCTCTTCTGATGTTCTTTCTTATGAAGGCCTCGGGCTCTCTGCCCTGCTGTTAGTTTTCCAGAGGAACTGGTTGGCCACTGGGTGAGACAGGATGCAGGACTAGATGGACCCCTTGTCTAATCCAGCTGGGCTCTTCTTACATTCTAAAGGTGCTTTGTTTTAGGGACTTTGGTGCTGTGGGGTTCCCAGTCTAGTGTAAGCAGCTACAGTGTCAGGAGTGTCATAATGGAAGGGGGAGGATTATACCCTTTGACCTGCAGGAGGGGTGTTTCCAGTGCAACAGAAGGAAAGGGTAGGTTTTCAACTTGGTGCAGGGCTACGAGACCCTTCAGGCGTGGATGTCTGTCGCCAAACTGAGCAGTAAGTAAACCACTTACAGAAGCCTGTGCAAAGTTCCTTCACGTACCCTTCCCCCAGACATCTTCCTGCATGAGGGACTGACGGTGAAGATTGGCGACTTCGGCCTGGCCACGGTGAAGACGCGTTGGAGCGGCTCTCAGCAAGTGGAACAGCCCAGTGGCTCCATACTTTGGATGGTGAGGCAAGCGTTTGAATAGTCCAGTGGGGGGGGCTGAGGTCGAAGCCAGGAGAGAACTATGGCTTACTTACCTCCAGAAGCATGTGCCCTAGTTCTTGACGCCTTCCGTCCGATCTCCCGCAGGCATCCGAAGTGATTCGAATGCAAGACCCCAACCCCTACAGCTTCCAGTCCGACGTCTACTCCTACGGAGTCGTGCTGTACGAGTTGATCACCGGGACCCTTCCCTACAGTCATATCAACAACCGAGACCAGGTAAAGAAGGACTGGAACTGTTGCGGTGCCCTTTACATGGGCAAAGGAACTCTTATGCAACACCTCCTTGCATCCGCACTGTCCCGTGATCCATTTTGGTAGCTGTCCATTAGGGTTTCTCGCAGCTGCCCCCAATGCTCCCTCTAAGCTGTGGAGTCTTGTGAGCAAAAATTCTACTTTGTGAGCTTCTGGCATTAAAGTTGTGACCAGGTAATTTGGCTACTGCATAATTTTAGTTGCTCTGGAGCCCTCCTTCCTGAGCGAAGACAAAAATCTGTGAGCCGGAGGCTAAAAAACTGTGAGCTGGCTCACACTAACTCAGCTTAGAGGGAACACTGGCTACCACCCCCCACCTCCCCGTACTATATTGCAGAGAGATTCTTAAAGGATTGCCATGGTTCCCCCTCACCCTGGGAAATGCTTGCAGGTTAGAGAGTTGGACTAAGAGCTGGGAGATGAGCAGTGTTCCCTCTAAGCTGAGTTAGTGTGAGCTAGCTCACAGTTTTTTAGCCTCTAGCTCACACATTTTTGCCTTAGCTCAGGAAGGATGGCTCCAGAGTAAACTAATTTATGCAGCAGCAAATCGCTCACTCACAACTTTAATGCCAGTAGCTCACAGATTTTTTTTGCTCACAAGACTGCACAGCTCAGAGGGAACGTTGGAATGAGTACAAATCCTCACTTTACCATGAAACTTACATGGTGACCTTGGGGCAGCATGCTTCCTGAACCTGATCTTCCTCCCAGGATTGTTGTGAGACCAAAAAGAGGAAGCCATGTGGAGGGAAGGGGTGATAATCATGGATAGAAAATGTGGGACCATCAGGAAAGGTCCCTTTGTCATATTGGTGTGTCTCCTTGCAGATCATATTCATGGTCGGCCGGGGATACCTGTCTCCTGACCTAAGCAAGGTGCCCAGCAATTGCCCCAAAGCCATGCGCAGGCTGATGTGTGATTGCCTGAAATTCAAGCGTGAAGAGAGACCCCTCTTTCACAAGGTGAGTCTTGTGGGTGTGTGAGGCGGCTGCCCTGGCTCAAACCAGTAGTCCACTGAATCCCAAATTCTGTTTACGACTGTAATTTGCAGTAAGCTTGCAACCAGAGCATGAAGGCCAGAGCCTTCCCCACTGCTTGTCCCCAATCAGTGGGAGATTATGGAACTCACTGCCACAAGATGTGATGATGGCCATTTCTTTAGATGGCATGAAAGGGGGATTAGAGACATTGATGGGACTATCTGTGCACGTGTGTATACGAGTGTGGCACAGGAGTGGTTAGAGGGTCAGGCTAGGTCTCGGAGACCCAGGTTTTAATCTCCACTCTGCCATGGAAGCTTGCTGGGTGAGTTCAGGCCAGTCACACACGCTCAGCCTAACCTACGTCGCAGGGTTGTGTTTTGAGGATAAAATTGAGGAAAAGAGAACAATGTAAGCTTCTTGGGGTCCCCATTAGGGAGGGGCATGTTATAAAGCAAACATCAGCCGGGACATCTAAATGAAACATCCAGAGGCAGTGACTTTTGAAGTCATCAAAAACCAGAGGCCCCGTCTTGTGGCAGTGAGTCCCATAAGGTAAGTACGTGTTGTGTAAAGGATCTGTGTGTACCAAAAGAAACCAGAATTCAGTACCAAGGTCACCGAGATTCTACAGCCTTGAAAGTGGAATCCTTCTAGATACATATTAAACAAATTGGCCTGTTTTTATTCTTTATAATCTATCCTGGAGATTTTGCAGCAGCCCCATCGTTGCAGTCTAAAGGTCTAGGAACCTGCCGCTCTGAATTTAAAAAGCGGAGATTCTCTCATCACATGCTGGAGTCTGCGCGTGCTCCGAGGCACCGTGTTCAGTTAATTTAGGGTGGAAACTAATGGAGAGTCTTGCTAAGCTAAGGTGCATCGGCCGACGGCTCTGATCCATCTCTTCTCTCCCCGTTCTTCCAGATCTTAGCCACCATTGAGTCGCTCCAGCACTCCCTGCCCAAGATCGAGCGCAGCGCCTCCGAACCCACACTCCATCGGGTGGCCCACAACGAAGAACTGACCCCCTTCGCTCTGCCCACTGTCCTGCGGTTCCGCAGCTAACGTGGCCTGATGGTAGAAATGCCCGCAAAGGCCACGCACCCCTCAAGGCCAGCTCCTTCCGGGTATCCTTGGGGGGAGGGTTGGCGGGGAGGGGATGCTCCCACAGAAGTGAAAAGTGTAAAATAAAAAACGGTTCTAACTGGTCCACGGATCCGGCAGCATTACTGTGCCGTGAGAAGCAGCCCGGAGGGACTGCAGGAGGTGGCGAAGTCTCCCTCTGGGCCAGGCCTTCTTGCTGCTACAGCACCCCCTAGTGGTTTTTTTACAGAAGTAGTCTTGCTCTTATAGTAAAGGAACATATAGTTATAGATATGTGAGACCCGTGAGGATACTGTAGTGCAGGGGTGTCAAACATAAGGCCCGGGGGCCGGAACGGGCCCATCCAGGGCTCTTATGCGGCCCGCGAGCAACTGGTGCAAGGGAGAGAACAGGAGACTGCTTGGGGAGGGGAGTGGGCGGAGCCACTCCGATTGTGCCTCCAGCATGGCGGAACAACCTCGTCTGCAGCAGTCAAGCGTTCTGGGAGCATCTGCCCAGTGCTGGACCCCTGGCTCTCCAGTCCCTCCATGTGGGGTTTCCTTTGCACCCCCCTCACAGCCCATGGGGCCTCGCAGTGAGGATACACCAACTCAGAGCTTACCAGCTTACAAAAATACACCTGGTATTTTTGTCCACTGTGTGACAGAGTGTTGGACTAGATGGGCCATCGGCCTGATCCAACATTGGCTTCTCTTATGTCCTCATGTCCTTTATACAGTTTATGTCTCTGGTGCCTGGCATTAAATTTTACGGCACACATGGCCCAGCCCGACAAAGTGACATTTATGTCAGGACCGGCCCTCATAAGAAATGAGCTCGACAGCTCTGCTGTAGTGCTTAGGTGCCTGGAAAGCAGATGATGAAAAAAGGCTCTGTGGGCAAAGGTGGTGATCCACAGGGTGGGATTCTCCTAGGCACTGCTGGAGACTTGCTTGTCTTTAGGGCCGGCTGGGTGCCTTTACTGGGCAGTCCCAAGAAGAGCCGCATCCTCCTTAGTACGCTGAGCCCAGATCTGTATGGCCCAGGCTAGTCCGATCTCATCAGACCCCAGAAGCTAAGCAAGGGCAGCCCTGGTTGGTACTTGGATGGGAGACCTCCAAGGAAGTCCAGGGTTTCTGCGCAGAGGAAGGCAATAGCCAGCCATCTCCGTTCGTCTCTTGCCTTGGAAACCCCACGAAGGGTCAGCATAAGTCAGTTGTGACTTGACAGCACTTTGCACGCAAAGAGAACTGCAGAGCAAAAACACAGGGACAGTAGACGAGCCATCTGTAACAGCTCCATCCACCTTTATAGCTAACCGCTCGCCTAGGGTGAGTGACAGTCCGTTTGCATGAGCCCAGTCTGCTGTTGGGATACCTTGCTATCAGAGCTGTGTGTACTAAAAAGAAACCAGAATTCAGTACCAAGGTCACCCAGATTCTACAGCCCTGAAAGTGGAAATTCCTTCCTGATACATATTAAACAAATTGGCCTGTTTTTATTCTTTATAATCTATCCTGGAGATTTCCCACAAGCCCGTCGTTGCAGTCTAAAGGTCTAGGAACCTGCCTCTCTGAATTTAAAAAGCGGAGAGTCTCTCATCACATGCTGGAGTCTGCGCATGCTCCGAGGCACTCTGTTCAGTTATTTTAGGGTAGAAGCTCTGGAGACCAGAATGGAGAGTCTTGCTAAGCTAATGTGTATCGGTCGACGGCTCTGATCCATCTCTTCCGTTCCCGTTCTTCCAGATCTTAGCCATTATTGAGTCGCTCCACCACCACCAAGTCTACTGACTTCAGGAGGCTTTGACGCTCTGCTTAGGATGCCACTGTTAACTCTATGGTAATTGATCATGCTTAGCTTCAGAAGTCAGGTTCCCCCCCCCTTTTTTTTTAAACCCAGAATAGCAGCCTTTAACTCTCAGTGTGTTTGCCAGATCCTCAAGAAGTTACAAGTGCAGGCTTTAATATGTTTGCGTTTTCATTTTTAAGACTGGCTTTAAAAAAAAAATCCTCAATATAATTAAATTGGAAAAAGAAAGTCAAACATAATATAGTTAAATGTTAAAAAATGACTTTTAAAAATATCAGTTTTTTTAAAAAATCTAACCTGACTGGCAAGTGGGATCCTTTGCCTCCAGGGGGCACCCTCCAACTGTTCTATGCACCCTGCACACCAAACTGTTTCAAGCAATCCCTCAAGCTACATAAAGACCAATCTACGGTCCATTACGCACTCACATCTTACTGCAGATTTTCAGAGTAGTAAGCCTTTAATCTTGACTTCGGAGTCTGTGCCTGCCTTATACACACCGTTCTTTCTCCTCCAGTGTATTCTGCAGCTACAATTTTTTTAAAAAAACACTTTTCTAGATTGGGGTGGAATGTCACTTGGGACGTGTTGGTGGTGTCCAAATTCTTTTTAAAAATTACACAGTTGCCCTATTGCAGCTGGGCAGTAGTATACAGCAAGTGCCTTCCATTTTAATCCTTATGGGTCAGGTTTTGTGCATGCCTTTTAGCATTAGTTCGTTGAATGAAAGGGAACAGAAAGGAACCCAGGCAAAGGGTGGAGGGGAACCTGATTTGGAAATTGACACCTGTTTTCCATCTTGCGGAGCACTAGGAGATTCTCTGCTGTGTTATCAGCCACTGTGAGAAACGGGAGTGTACAGAATGCATGGTAGAACCCACTGATACTGGCACTGCAAGCTGTGATCATTGGCAACATTTGAGTGCGTGTGTGTGCATGCATGCCCCTGTGCAAAGTCAGCTGCAACTCCGTCACAGTTTGCACAGGGCTGTGACTTGTATGGGGGAGGAGTCCTCTGGCAGAAGCTCTGGGGAGCTTTTCTAGTCTTGTGCCACTAGACTGAAAAAAATGGGGCGAGGGATTTTCACCAGTGCCCAATGTAGCTGCATAGTAATGCTAATTTCTTACCCTTCCTTGCAAGTTTGTGTGGTTTTCTCTTTGTGATTCTCTGATTTGATCCTGCACACTGGTCGTGATCGTGGCAGTTTTTTAGAGCCTGTCCTGTGCAGATTGCACTCTGTCCTCCAAATGAATTGATCCCAAGCAATTCTTACGTTCGGCAGTTTGCAGAAGGACCATGTGTGGCTCAGCTGCCATTTTAATGTTAGGCTTCTGGAGACGGCCAAAATGGTTCCCCCCATTTGTTCACTAAAGCATTAAAGGGAAAATGTTTCCAAAGCTTTAGGCTTCCCATCCCAGTCTCTCTCTCCTCTTTACATTTCTTGTCAATTTCATTCCGCGCTTATAATTCTCCTCCCCCTTATTTTGTTAGCATGCAGCACTGAAATCCTTTAATATTTTGCACTGGGGATGCTGTCACTTGCCTCCTCTCTGATCCCACTTTCAAGTGAATACCAGCAGGGCATTAAAACTCGCACAGCTCCTTTTAAACTTCCCCCCATTGTTTAATTTTTTTTATTCAGCAATCTGAGACCAGCGATAGTCTCACATCACCGCTTGTCAAACAACCCCCCCCCAAATTTAAAACAACGAGGGGAAAATGGAGCTTGTACACCATGAAGGGTGGAGGATGGCAGAAGGTGCAGAGTGAATGACCTCAATGTGGGTGGGGGAGTGACCTTCAAGGGGCAGCAAAAGGGCAGGGGGGGGGGAATCCAAGGGAATCTGTGTGCTTTTGAATTCCCTTCAGCTTGGAAAAGAACCAAGGGGGAAATCGGCACAAAAGCACTCTCAGAAAACCTGGGGAAACTTTGACCAGAAAGCGAACTGAGTGCTGAAGGGAGCAAAATCAATGCAGAACAACGAAGAAAACCCGACGAACATGCACGGAGAAAGTGAGTGGAAACACCCATGCATATTATAGGCCTCTGTTCCTAAAGATATTCTCCTTTGGTTCTGCATCCCCCCCAATAACACACAAACACGTTTTTCCTCTTAACTTCTCCAGTTTAATATCTTGATACATATATATCTCTCTCTGCATATAGATTTCTATTCATTTTATCCAAGCCACATAACGTGTATTTTTTTCCAGCAGGTCTTCAGGCTT